GCATGTAGTGGTGTGTGTGTGTGTGTGTGTGTGGGGCATCAATGTGTGTAAGAGAGTTAAAAATGTATGCATAATTGTGTGTGTGTGTATAAATTTATATGTGTCTGAGTATGTGTGGGTGGGAAGGTTGGTGAATTCATAGATATGTATGTATGTGTGTGTTTATAGGGGAGATGTTATTTGTTTTACAAGAACAAAAATGACTTCCAAATTGAAAAGTGTGCATTTTTCTTCTTTCACAAAGTTTTGAACTTTCCTTTTGTGCCAACAATTTAATCAAAATCAACAAAACCTTAAAAATGAACAAATACAAAATTAATATTTATCCGTTTTTCTATGAAATGTTTTAGTGAAAGTTTTTAATGAAAATTGATTCAGTCAGTGTTTCACATAGTGTTGGGTGTTGTTAACAATTTTGCAAGCTATGAATGGGTGGTACCCCAAAAGTATTTAATAGACAACACCCCAAAAACATTTAATGTATTCACAGTTTGTTAATGAAGGAGATTTTAATTGGACAGATTACAATTTCTATTCAGAACTTTTCCCACAATACATCAAATTATGACCATAATCAAAGATAGAATTTCCAAGTTACCATTTTTCTTTTATTAACAAACAGGTTTATTGTTTTAAGTTGATTTCAGCAGAAAACAATAAAAAATGACTTACCTAGGACAATAACATTTGACTTAAAAAAAAATAATATTTTAGCAGTTGTATTCATGTTTACCGCTTATCAAAGATGTTAATTTTCGTTCTTTCCAAATAAATTTATTAAATTCAATAAATGCAATGGAAAACTCGGAAAACCTTTCAAACATTTTTAACTGGAATACTAAGTGACCCTTAATCAAGAGAGGATTCTCAAACATTTGCTTTTCACTCCCCCACACCATCTGCACTGGATCAACACTCAAGTGCATCATCTGACATTTTGATCAGTCAGCAGTTTAGTTATACTCACTTGTACAATATAACACTTAAAAGTGCAGCACCATCCCAATTGTTAAAATGTCTTTTATATAACACAAATAAAATATATTCTGCATGTATCTTTTGCAACTCCATCATTTTGGAAAAGTCACAATCAAATGCCTATAACCTTAATTAATCAACTAAAGGATAATTTTTAAACAAAGAAAGGAAATTACATAAACTATTTTAACATGAAACAATATGGCATTCGTCTGAAGAATTTTAAGAGTTGAAGTGTCTCATTAAAATAGTGGAAATCTAGTAATGAAATAGTTAATATCTTTTATTAGAATAATCTGAAATCTGTCATTAAATTAGTTGAAATCTATCATTAAAACAGTTGAAGGCTATCATTAAATCAGTTGAAGGCTATCATTAAAATAGTTGAAGGCTATCATTAAAATAGTTGAAGGCTATCATTAAAATAGTTGAAGGCTATCATTAAAACAGTTGAAGGCTATCATTAAAATAGTTGAAGGCTATCATTAAAATAGTTGAAGGCTATCATTAAAACAGTTGAAGGCTATCATTAAAATAGTTGAAGGCTATCATTAAAACAGTTGAAGGTTATCATTAAAATAGTTGAAGGCTATCATTAAAACAGTTGAAGGCTATCATTAAAATAGTTGAAGGCTATCATTAAAACAGTTGAAGGCTATCATTAAAATAGTTGAAAGCTGTTATCAAAATATTTCAGCCACCCTGAAGTCATTCTTGATTTCCTTTTCACAGTTGCTGTATTTGAAACTATTCCCAAAATAATTGAATCATCTTCAGAATTTTAAACATTAATAATAATTAATTACTGTCTTCTTTCTTAAATAAAAATGTAATATTCTTAAAAAGACTAAATCCCATGAATCTATCTATCTTAGCATTTAAGCATTCTTGGGTAGGAATCTAGGTTTTTATCTCAGTTTCCTCAGCAAAATCCCCATTTGAGTATTATCTGCACAGAAATATTTTGGAAATTTGTCAAGACTGTTTTGAGGTCATGAAAAAATTTCTCATCAAAAATGTGTCATTATCCCACAAAAAAAATTAAAATAATTCATATTTTTGCAAAATTAGGAAAAACAGCATTTTTGGGTGGCACATTGAGATGAAGAATTTGTAAGAAAAAAATTACACCATATTTGATGTGACTTTTTATTTGAAAAGAAAATTACCAGTGTTTTGAGTTCCTCATTCTATTTGATTGCATCTTCCTATTAAGAAGGCTGCAAAATTCAAGAAATGTTGCCAAATATCAGTTGATAGATCATAAATGTTTCTGAACGGATAATGAAATAAACACTTTTTCTGAATATACAAATATTTATACTGAAGTGACAATCAAAAAAAAAAAGAAATGGCTAAAATAGCCACAGATCGTAAAGCTAATTTTTTTTCCTCTTTGCAATTCACCCTTTTCATTCTTCAGCGATTTCAGGTTGGTCCCTGGCATAAACCAATTCTGTAGACAAAGACAAAAATATCAAGATTTAGGCCACAAAATTACAGAAAATTTCATTGATTTGGCAGGAAAAATTTATTTTTGGATGTTGACACATAGCAGAAATAAGCATCAAGTATTTTACAAGTATCTTTAATTCCGCTTGTACATGATTTATTTTAGATACACAATATATTGTATATGGTATAAATATTTACCCATTATCTAAACATAAAAATTTGTCTATGCAAATATAAATTAAAACATACCAATTTGATTCATTGTTTACAGTTTAATTAAATATGGCAGCTCAAACAAAATGTTTGTTGAATTGAAAATCACTGCTATAAATCACTGGCGATAAAACAGTTGAATGTTTGCAGAAAAACTGTTAATAATGTGAGAAAAAAGTTTAAAGAAGAAAAATCAATACAGGTATACCTCACCCTATGTCGTTGATTGGTTCCAGAGGTCATGACTTAGGTCGAAAAATGACTTAAGTCGAAATAACCACACTATAAACCACAAATAAGCACTCTCCTTTGCCTATTACAGTATTTATGATATGCACATACAGTATTCTGAATAAAATAATTAATTTCCACATTATCTTCCAGCGATATAGCTTAGCATTAGCACTTGCACTGGGACTTTTCTTCAGTACCATTGGCAAAAATGTATTCTAAATCACAATTGAAAGAATGTCAATGGCAGAGCACAGATGTAAACCAGCCTGAATTCAAAATCAGTGTTGGAGTGGAAAAAATGAATGAATGCTGCCTGTTGGCATAATTTTAAATATGAACATCTGCTGAACATTCTTTATTATACAAATTTTTTTGTTTTGATGATTCTATGATATATATATATATATATATATATATATATATATAGATAGATAGATAGATAGATCTTAATGTTTATTCCAACTTAATTTCAATAAAAACAAAATAAATAGAAAAACATGTATTTTTTTTCCTCAGTTTCTTCTTTAAATAATTTTATAATTTTAAACTTAATATAGATTAAATTTAAAATTGGTAATTTTGAATTTTGAATTTTATAGTATAATTTAATATTTATTAGTTAGAATGAATTCTATTTTAGTCTAACCCCAACATTAAAACATTAAATAATTATTATAACCAAAGTTTGTTATAAAGTTTTTTGAATTTTCATATACTTGTATTTTGATTGGTCATTCCAGCTTATGTAACATCATTTCTTTTAGCGAGGGGTATTTGATTGATTTGAACCTTTTAAAACCCTTTATTCTACATTCAACACCATCACTTGATAAGACACCAGAAGTGTTGAAACAAAATGACTATTTTTGTAGTGATTTTATAATATATTTATGTTGTAATTTTCACATAAATAATCATATTTGCTCTACTCTGTATTGAGCACTCTTTTAAAAATAGTATTTGTTGGTTATTGGAATCTATTCCGTATACACCAATCCTATATATATATATATATATATATATATATATATATATATATAATATTATTTTTAAATTTATTTGAATATAATTTTATACGCTTATTGTTATTTTAGTGTTTTGATGTTTCTAATATTTTTAATGGCCAACGCAAACTCAAGTAAAACGACCTAAGGCAAGTTTTATTTTTCCATATAATATTCAAGAAAAACTGACATATCTTTGAAAATGACTTCACGCGAAACAACTTAAGCTGAGGTATCACTGTATCACCAAATTTAATTCCTGGAAGAAACTGTTATGTTCATACAAAGAGAGTCATTGAAGCCATCAGGAAAAGGGTGAAGAGAAATCTACGACGAAGCATGAGGAAGATGGCAAAAGAGCTGGATATTTTGGGTAGGTATCTAAGGAGGATTGTGAAAGAGAATTTAGGATTAAAACTATACAAGAGTCAAAGACAACAGTTGCACTCGAGTGCCTCCAAGCAAAATTGGTTTGATAGAAGGAAGAAAATTTTTGAGGAAATGAAGTGTACCACAGATAATGTTAAGTTTTTCACTACAAAAATGATAGGGTTTACACGACTTCATCAGGAAAAATTCCCAAAGGTGTCAGAACTCATTTCAAGTGACAGAAACAAACTGGTATCATGGTTTGGGTGGCTGGTGCTTCTCATAGTTCGAAATCGCACTCGGTGTTCATTGAAGAAGGAGTGAAAAGTGAATAGCAGTAAATATTGGAGAGAGATGTGTTTTCCTAGTTGTCAGCCATATTTGGAAGTTGCTGTGTCTTCACTGAAGGTGGAGCTCCCACACACATCACACGACCAATTTGATGCAGAACTGATGCAAGAGATTTCTGTGGATTTTTTGACAACTCAGTTTGACCTCTATCAAACTCTGATATTAATCCTATGGACTTTGCAATATGGCTCATATTGGACAGCAATGTTTCACATATCTCATACTCAAATGAGTCAGACCTGAAAGTAGCTCTTATGATGATGTGGTACAATTTGAGCAAAGAGATGGTGAAGATGTCATGTACTAAAGATAGACTTAACGTCTCTGTACTCTCAAATCCTAAAATCAATGTTTAAGGACCTCAGAAGAGAAGGCGGGAGCTTACCTGGATTATTTTCATTCGTCCTTTATGCGTAATTCCTGAAAAACAGCAGCAGCTTCCCTTGCCAGCTTCATTCGGGTTTGAGCCTTCTTTAAAGCAGCTATAACAAAAAGAAAATAATTTGGATAATGATGGTAGAACAAATTATGATCAATAAGTCCAGAGCATCATACACTGATTAACTAAGATTTTGATCTGAAATTTTCACCATATAATCTCCAATCTGTGTAAAAGGAATAGATTAAGTGTAATATGATTTTCAAGTTCGTTAATTTAACAAAATCGCAATATAGCTGGATTAAACAAAAATCATAATGGAAAAGTAATTTAGTTCCCACTCTAGTCAATTGGTTGGTTGTTTTGTTTTATGGCATATCAAAACCTCAGTGGGTCATTTAATGTCAACAAAATTTTTTAAATAGATTCATAGCGATAGTTTGGAAAAAAGGTGTATATATATATATACATATATATTTGAATCATTTTTCAATTACTCATATTTTTGTGTAAAATCCAAGAATGTATAACTGTTTGAATTACTGGTATATTTTTTTAAGTATTGCTGATAATTTTTCCTTCAAAAATGTATTGTTGGTCATTTTGTTATAATTTTTTTTATCACAAAGTATTTCTGATATTTAAACCTATTTTTACACAATTTTGGGTGTTAACTATTTGCCCATAGCTGGAACCCTAACAGGTGCTACCACCCCAGGTCAGGGTGAACCTGGGAACACCAGCAATTAAGAACTGGTTCCATGTTCCTCAAAACCTCCTGATCCGAGGCCTTGCTGTTGGACTAGTTTATCATCTTACCCAGGACGGACACTCTAGTCAAATTGAGATATATAGGTCCAGTTAACACAAGAGTTACTTAGGTAGACATAGGTCCAATTTACACTAGAGTTGAATAGAAAGACATAGGTTCACTTTACACTATAGTTGAATAGAAAGACATAGGTCCACTTTACACTAGAGTTGAATAGAAAGACATAGGTCCAATTTACACTAGAGTTGAATAGAAAGACATAGGTTCCCTTTACACTAGAGTTGAATAGAAAGACATAGGTTTGCTTTACACTAGATTTAAATAGAAAGACATGGGTTTAGCTTACACTAGAGTTAAATAGAATGATATGGGTTTGGTTTATGTTAAAGTCAAATCAGAAGACATAGATCATATAAGTGGGTGCTGAAAAGTTCTAAACCTGACTTACTTCTCAAAAGAATTATTCCCATGACCAAACATCTAATATGCATATTACTAATTTAGAAAAAATGGGTTCTACAATTTTTCTCCGCCCACTAGTTTATTTCAACATTCTACATCGAGTCAATTTCAAGCCGAGAAAATATAACCAAAATTGGTTTTCTTGAATTTGATCCTCAGAAAACAGTAACACGGAAATACTAGACACCCACTTGCTTCTGATTTAGTCTGTGTTTGGTTTAGGTTGGTTAGTTGATTTCGTTTCACAGCATATCAACTTCTATGGGTTATTTAATGCCAAAATGTAAATGTTTTGAATGCAATTTTATGGCTTCCACTACAGATAAAAATGTATTGTTGGTTATTTTGTTATAAAATGTATTTTTGGTAATTCTATAAAATGCATTGTTAGTCATTTTACTATAAATATGTATTGCTGCTATTTTTAACATAAAAATGTATTTTTATACTTTCATAGTGTTTTGTTTTGTTTCGGTGGGTAACTATTTTCCCATAGCTGGGAACATAACAGGTGCTACCATCTATTATAGTGGAACACACCTATTTTATAGTTAATAGACTCTCCCACCTATAATAAGTAGGAGGAGTAGTAGCAGTCGCTGAGTTGCTCAGTGAGTTGGTCAGTCAGTCGATGTCGGACGACCGTTAGTCGGATATTAAAGTATCAGACACCACAACTAGATTGCTGTGTCATTAACTATTATATCAAGTTCCTAACGTTTTGTACGCCGAACCTATTTTAGGATCAACTTAGTGAAATACAAGCCTCCACTGTGAAACTACTCTACAACACCATCCCGGATCAGGATGGACCTGGGAACAACAGCAATTAAGAGGTGGTTTCACACTACTCAAAACATCTAATCTCTCAATCGAAGTCCTTGCTGCCAGAGTTTGGCTTAGATGGTAACCAAATGTGAAAAAGAATCTGGGGTCCCATCTTAGGTTTCAGATTTGATGCTATCAAAACAAATAATAATTTTTCATAAGCACCTGGTATTCTCAAGAGGTCACCCATATAGGTACTGAACAGTCTTCACATTGCTTAACACCAGTGATCATATGGAAACCAGTGTTTTAAACATGATATGACTGTAAGCTGCTAGCTGATCAAAATGAAGATCCATTGTCTCTGATTGCACTTGACTTATGGATTTGAGTTTATGCCATCTTCAGGAATATGATCCATGACAGTTTCCTTTTCTTTAATATTTGGTTTGGTTTACTTTGTTTTATGGCATATCAACCTCAATGGTTTATTAAATACTGACATTTTTTTTTAGGATAGGTTCATATGAATAGACCATGTATTTTTTTATAAGAAATCAGTTTGTAGATCACGTTTCAGTGATATATTTTTGTAAAGAGGGATTTTCCAAGAGTAAAATGTATTCCTGGTAATATATTTTTTTTCAAAAATGTTTTTACTACAAAACTCTATTTTTATACTTTTGACCCAGTTTGGAGACTATTTGCCGGGACCCTAACTGGTACTACCATCCCAGACGAGGGTGAACCTGGTAACAACAGAAGTTAAGAGGTGGCTTCACACTTCTCAAAACCTCCAATCACCCAATCAGAGACCCTCGCAACTGAATGTAGTCATACCCAAGATGTTTTAACATCTGTAAACTGCACATTGTTGTCATTATTTTTGGAAAAGATTGCAGAGTGGTTTCCTGTTGTCTTCATCAGTCTGCTCTGCTATTTAATCCATAGCTTGAGAAATGGATTCATACCTTTCACGACAGCATTAGTACAAAATGAACACAAATTATATCAGCCAAAATTAGGGCACATCGACATGGTGTAATGGTTAGCAAGTATGTCTCGTTAGAACCATTACAACTGAGTTCAATCCTTACTGGGTGCCCCATGCTTTTGGCCTTGTGCCACATCTAAGCTGCACTTAGAAAATCATTTTGGGCACCTCAAAGTGGTGTAATGGTTAGCAAGCGTGTCTCACTAGAACAATTACGACTGAGTAGTAAGTTCGATTCTCACTGGGTGCTCCATACTTTCAGCCTTGTGCCACATCTAAGCTATGCTTGGAAAATCAATATATCAGCCAAAATTTGATTCAATTTTAAACTGCTGTTATATCAGTACCTCTCCTTTCCTTAAAAATCCTTAATTTGTTACATTGAGGAAATTTCTCATCATTAAAAAATAAAACGCTAATAATAGTTGATGATGATACCACCTCCAAGGAGAATGCTCCCCACCCTTGTGTTAGTGAACCCAGCTTTGAAGAGCCAATAAATGAGTCACTGACCATCACAACCTCAGTGGTCAAAATAGAAAATACCAGGCGGTCTGAAGTAGATGTGGAGTAATAGGACTGGAAGCAATGGTCAACTGCAATGTCAAGAAGCAGGATATCTAAAACCAGGAAGCATGTGATCAGTCAAAAAGATAGGAACAAACTTAGGGGTCATGTGCGGCTCGTGTAATCTGATAGCTAGAATTGCAAATGGAGATTCTTTTGAAGGTCTTCTTGAAAACCATTTTGCTAATTTTAGGAAACTCTTAAAAACATTCTTGCCTGATGGTCAATTAGTCACAACTTTAGTTTGCTACATTTGGATCACAAATCGTAATTACTGACTTTATATTCTGTTAGACAGTCTTTACAGAATTGCTTTTCCTTGTTTTTTTTTAATACTTAAGTTCACTCAATTTAAGGCCCGTGAGCCATTCAAGATAGAAGGTTATTGTTAAGATTGTTTTGTTTATGAGATGTGATATGAATGAAAGAGGAGGGGAATATAAGGATAAGGAGATTTTATGGACAGTAGAACAAGAATAATTTATCCTCATAATGGATTCAGTTTGAAATTCCTTGAAGGTTAACTGGATTGACTGACTCCTGAAGAAGGCCAAAGAACACAATGGTCGAAGTATTGTAATAACAACATTATAGATGAGAACAATAGTTCAAATATAAATAAAATTTTACTAGTTCTACTATAACTAGAAGTAACCTGTTGTCAATTTCTAAAAGAGTATTTAGTTTTATTTGACACTCAATTATAACCACCCCAACACTGAAATAATTTTTTTTTCATTATTTTACCTGAAGCAAGGCAATAAAGCCACTAAGATGCAAGGGGAGTTACTGAGTGTAAATGAATATAAGAAAAAGAAAAACATTATTAATTAATGAGAACAATACAAGAACAGGAATCAAGATATCCATAGAGTCTTGTACCATAGCAGGAATTTCAATAACCATGAAAGTATTTATAGAAAAGACAGAGGAAGGCTACATTATGACAGTGAGAAAGTGACTGAAGCTGAGATGCCAGGTCAGGACCAATGATATTGCAGATTATTCTTTAAATTTATCAGGAATCTCTAAATATATAGCAAAGCACTAGACCATATGTGTCACACACACACATATATATATATATATATATATATATATATATATATATATATATATATTAGTTACAGTTTCTGGGAGAGAGTGTGTTATCTAGAATGATCAACAATCTGAACAACAGCAAACTCAAATCTTCAGTCATGATCACTTATGACTTTGCGCTGGTACAGTTATCAATGGCTCCCAGGTGTTCAGTCTACCCAATTTCACTCACAAAGCTTAGGTCAACCTGTGGTTTAATTTTCAGACACTTTCCAACCCCCACCAGATCAATAACATCAGGAAGTCTCCTTCCTGACAAATCAACTGTGGTGAGATTTGAACCTGGATCTCATGCTCAGAAAGCAAATGTTCTAACCACTTGGCCACATGACCATATAAAATGACTGCCTACAAACATTACAAGGTTTTTTGTTTTTTTTAACAGAGTGGATTCGGACCACTAACCTTTCGGTCAATAGCCAAACACACTAAACAGTTGCACCATGAGGGCCTGTCATATATATATATATATATATATATATAATAAAAAGGCTTAAACACTAATATTCCATGGACATAATTAATGTTAGAGCTAAAGAGAGGGGTAACAGACAAGAGAAGGTGGGAGATTAAAACTTAACAGAGAGAAGTTTTATAGAGGTGAGTGGAAGGGGGAAATTAATTTGTAGGTCTGATGAATTGGATCGTATTTACAATTCCAATGGAATAAATTATACAACCTATTCTATTCTATATATATATATATATATATATATATATATATATATATATTATAGGTGCGATGGGTAAATTGTTGCCATTTTTTATTTCTAATTTTGCACATGCACATTGTGTGTTTTTGATTTTGTTGACTGCACAGTATAGCACGGTTAGTTGGACACCATCTGTGAGAAAAAAGAGCACCATGACACAATTCACTCCCACAAAAATTTGTAAACACCATACTGCACTGCATGGCATTCACACCAGAAGCTCCAATACAAACATTTCATTGTTTGGGTGTCAATCTGCAGATGATTCAGAAAGAGTGGATGAGTCTAATGGTGATTACGAAAATAAAAAGTCTTTCAGGTGTGTGCGTGTGTGCATGTGAAACCTATCAAACTCAATCCGCAATATATTAGAAGAAAATACAAGTATAATAGCCTCATCCACACATAAAAAAGATAAAAAATAATGGAAGCACAAATAATAATAAAGAGAAAAACCAACACTTAATAACATTAACTATGAATATGTCCACAATGTGCTGACAGTGTTTGAGAAATAAAACAATCCTATAACTTCAGAGACATACATAAAAACAACCCACACATTCAGTTAAAAGTAAAAAATAAAATTAACCTTGATAATGGCTAAATGGATAACTGAAAGTGCTCAAATATGCAGAACATTTAAACAGTTTTTAAAAACATTATGTTAAGGAAAAAAAACACTTATACAGATACAAGAAAATAAAAAAAAGTTTAATTGCAGTCCCTTGCCAGTCATCTTTAACAAAACTTGTATAAAAGAGGGATTGCTTCCCAAATACACACACACAATATATATATATATATATATATATATATATATATATATATACACACACACACACACACACACACAAAGTGGAAATGATAAATTGTTGCCATTTTTATATTTTTAATTTCACACATGTACGTTGTTTGTTTTTAATTTTCTTGACTGCACAGCATAGTAGGGTCAGTTGGGCACCATCTGTGAGAAAAAGAGCACCATGATGCAATTCACTCCACTAGAAATTTGGAAATGGCATGCTGTATTGCTTGGCATTCATGCCAGAAGATCCAGTACGAACACTTCACAGTGTTTGGGTGTTAATCTGAGAACAGTGAAGATGATTCAGAAAGAGTTGAATGAGTCTAATGGTGATTATGAAGATATGGCATCTTGGAAAACTCACTCTGATCATTCTAATATGAAACAAACTCCTGAATTTGTTGGTGAGGGCCTCAGATTCAGCACAGAGGCCTACATCAAGTACCTTGAAGAGGTAGTAATACACTGGGTCAAGAGGGTGGTTGCTGGAAGACATTATATCTGACAACAAGACTCTACATCATGCCACACAAGCAAGAGAATCCATTCATAGCTGTCATACAATTTCTGCAATCCCATCACCCCTTTCATCTGGCCACTTAACTCCATAGACTGCAACCCCAATTGATTATTATGTGTGGCATGCAGTTGAGCGAGAGACCAACGAAACTCCTTGTAACACCAAAGATGAACTGAAGGCAAGGATTATGGCAGCATTCATCAACTTAAACAAGGAGACCGTCCAGAAGAGATGCAAGAGATTCTGAAGTCGTCTGGAGGCCGTGGTTGAAGCCAATGGTGATTTTATTGAATAAATTTACTCTTCAGTATTTCAAAATATTTTTTGTGTAATTTTGGTAAATATATCTGTTAAAATGAGATGCCAGTATTATTTTCATTTTTGTGTCATTTAGACGATAATTTATCCATCGCACCCTGTATATGTATATTCTTTCATATTTTTATAAATATGTAAGATAAATTTGGGCAAGAAAAATTGTCTACCACAACACAGTGAACCAACTTTCCTGGCAGCAGATCTAGCAACTGATTCAATATAATCTTTCCACTTCATGTTAACAGAAAACATTAGCCCAACAAGGTGCAATGTGTCCCTCTCCAAGAGGTTAGCATCAGCCATGAGAG